ATACCCCTTGCCCAGAACAACATGTTTTCACCCAAAAATTATCAACAGTTCACCAAATTTTCATATATAAAGCCCTTATTATGCTACCAAACTCAACTATCAACAATTTAACTAACTTTCCTTTAGTTAGTCTCTTTGAACATCTCAAACCATTCAAGAACCTTCTATTCTAAGAATCAAACCACTTTTTCTAATATGTGTTTACTCAATATCAAGGCTTCTAATCTCTTATATACCTATTTGACAAGTCAAATTTACAAATAAACATCCATAAACATTCATATTTCAACATAACCCTCACATTTTGCTCAATCTCTAATATTTCCTTCATAACTTAGTTTTGATCCCCTCTAAACCTTTATTAAGCTTCCAACATATACAAGGATTCATTAGCTAAAAAAAATTTAAAGAATAAACCATTTGATTTAAAACTTACCTTTGAGCTTATGAGAGAGCTCTTCTACGGGGGGAAAAGAAAGAGAAAGAAGAAAAGAGCTTGTTATTTTCAACCTAATCCCCTTTTCCCTTATTATAAATACCAATTTAAATTTTCTTTCATATAAAAGACCAAATTTCCCTCTTAAAAATCCATAGTCATAATTTAGTCTTAACCATTAATCCTAGCCATTCCATCTTTCTTAATCAATATTTTGAATCATTTCAAAATAGTTCTTATATCAATATTTGGGGTATTACAATTCTCCCCTCCTTAATAAAATTTTTCCTCGAATTTAAAGCTTTATGCTCTTCCACTATACTTCAACTAAAAAAAATGTTTTCTTACTCGTTTCCTGAATTTCTCTAATCCAAATCTGTATTGGGTCTTTTTCATAATTCAACTTTAATCGAATCCCCATTTCCCAAAGTAAGAACATGCAATGGATTCTATTGGTCATTAGTAAACAATGACACATGAAAACATTATAGGTCTTGTCTATTTCAGGAGACAAAAGCTAACTGATAAAATCTACTAAGGTTCACTAATTCTCGAACTAAGTCCAAACCACAATATTTCCTTTTAAATCAATGCTTTCAGTAAAACTTTATCACTTTCTTGCCACTCAACTACTTTTCTTTTTAAATCAGCATAAGACTTTTGTAATTAGCACCACTATAACATAGCTCACTATACAAGCAATAATATCAAATCATTTAAAGTACTCAACTACGGCCGACTTTAAATCATGTGTAGATAATTCCTATTGTGAGTCTTTAACTTTATCGAGGCATATGTCACAACTTTACCTTTGTGCATAAGCACACTTCCTAAACCTTTGATAGATGCCTTAATAAAAACTACATAATCTTTATCCAACTCAAGTTGTATAAATACTAGAATTCATGTTACAATCCTCTTTAGTATTTCAAAACTCTCTTGACCCTTTTTCATGCTCCCAAAAAGACATATCTTTCCTTAAAACTTGGTTAGCAGCAAAGCTAACATTGAAAATTTCTTCACTAACTTTAGATAGTACCCAACAAGCCCCGAATAAGTCCAATTTCATGATCATTCTTTAGGGAAATTTCTAATTTACAACAACATGAGTTTCTCTTAGAATATACTCTTATACCGTATACTAAAACAACCTGGCAAATGAAAGTTATCTATGCTAACCAGAATTTCACATTTGGATATTTTGGAAAACAAATTCTTCTCTCGAAAAGTCTTTTTTTAATTGTCAAAATTTATGTATAACCACCTATATTTATCTTTCTTTTCGTTAATAACACATATACCTCCCCAAATAAAATACTCGAGTTGATAAAACTTTGCTAAATCAACTCTTATAATTGAGTCTCAAATTCTCTTAACTCACTTAAGTCATTTAATACTAAATCATGGAAACATGTTCAATACCTTAATAACTATTAACCTTGAACTCTACCTTTCAATATGGAGGTAACTCAATAAATTTACTTACAAAGACATCTATAAATTCCCAAATTTTTGTGAGATTATCAAAAAATTCTCAATTAATTATTCAAGTATCTATATCATTAACCATAAAAGCTATATATATATATATATATCTTTCTGACATCATTTTCTTCACCATCTCTCAATTAATTATTCAAGTATCTATATCATTAACCATAAAAGCTATATATATATATATATATCTTTCTGACATCATTTTCTTCACCATCATTATCGATATCACTCTGAGCGATGATTTTACTTTCTCACTAAAAACTATAATTTACATAATATCTGCTTCTTTCTGAAATAATCTTCTCTAAAGACAAACAACTTATTTCCAATATGATTTTAACTCATAAAATGATAATTCATCGGTTCACTGGAAACATAGCCCCTAGAATTTTTATCAATTATTTACTACCTATCCAACTCATCTTTGCACCATGACCCACTGGGTTTACTGTTATCATCTCACACGAGATTAAGTTGAATAGAATACTTTTACTTTAAAAACTTTCATTTCCTTATTGAGGAAATCCGTATATCTTTTCCATATCCCTTTAAAATATTCTCGAATAGTTGAAACATTCTCTATTTCAACTATGAAAATCTAATTATCCACATCATTTACTAAAAAGACTTGACAACTTTGTAGCAATAATTTCATAGCAGTTAATGCTAAAATTATTCTAGTAACCAATTTACTCTTAGACAACTCATAATCAGTTAATACACTAACAACTTCAATTTCTATTAGTTTTTAGCAGTCAATGTACTTACCGCTTATTCATTTCTGCTTACTCGATTTAACCATACTTTAAATACTTTAATGCTTCACTTAAGTATTTCTTAATTGCAAAAACATCGTTAAACGATGGGGCATTCCTTCCACAGAATGGAGGAAAATCCCTAACAACTCTTACCCTTCTAAAACATGATACTGAAGTCATGTCGAATTCTCTTGGGTCGATTTTTAATCTCGACCATCTTTTCAATATTATCTACTTTTTTCCTTTGTTTTCGACATCTATTAGAACATATATAATAATAACACTCAAGTTAGTAAGGAGTGATGTCTATCACACTCTAATTGACATCATATCAGTAACTTTGCCAATCTTAGTGGCATGTAATCTTTTTCTCAGTTCAATTAAACCCGGTTTTGTCTGAGAATCGGGTAAACCTATAGCTCTGATACCAATAAATGTAACACCTAACTCAAGTATACCCTTCCGTACACTAGATATGGATGTCACATCACTGAAAACAAATTTTGATATTTTATAACCCTTAAAATTTTGTTTTAATTTGATTAACCACAAAATAGAATATTTTTTAAAGCAACATACTCAAATCTTCACTTAGTTACATTACAAAATGTTTACCATATTTTAATTACATGCCAACTAAGTTTATAATTTGAATAAGATTATCTTACCGTTACTGATGAGAGTCAACCCTAACTAATGATACCCACTGCTACTGCTGCACTCCTTACTCAATTAATCTCTTTTTTTACCTACACGTGGAAACAACACACCATAAGTATTTACTTAACGATACATAATATTATAAAATAACCTTTGTGTATACATAAGTACGATCTTTATATTTAATTTGTACTAAATTGTATATTCCTTAAGGATTCTATGATCCTCCTCCTCTAAACTGTATTCCATTCACAATTATCTTAAGTATTATAGTATGCATAGCATACCTATCTTCCTCTATATTTTCTTCTCCATTTATCTCTTTAGTCCTAAACCTTTATTTTCATTGATAGCATCTCATCATGCTTATAATACACCATTGTACCATCTCCACTGTGATATCCTTTCGTGCTTTTTTTACACTATTATACATTTCATTTATGGCATTCTTCCATACCAATTATGTGTGGTTATACATTATATATATATTATATCCCTTCATATCACTTATGCCCCACTCATATCACAATATTCTTTATCCTCTTACTCAACAGTGTTTAACCCTTTATCTAACTAGCATAATTGACACCTTTCTGCCAATTACACGGTTAGACCATTATTCTTGTACTCAAGAGTACTTAATCGTTCATCTAACTGGCATAATTGACATTTTTCTGTCAATTGCATAGTTAGGCCATCGCATCTTTTATTTTGGAATAGTTTCTATTCTAATACTTATGTTTAATATCAATAACTCTCTTTTAATTTGTTATAAACTTTATACATTCGCACCCTTAGTGCTCACATAGTAATTTACCAACTTCTTATTTCAGTTCATTTATTAAGATACACATCTAGTGCTTATTCATTATTCCTCAACTAGTTAAATTTTTTTTTTAATATTTATATATTTTTATTTAATATTTTTGTCCAATAAGATGATGACACGTGTCAACACCATATTTGTTTAAATTTAAACTAAACAAACAAAACATGCTTTTGTGGGGAGTTAAACCTGGGCTAAATGCTTGAAATCCCATCACCTAACCACCAAACCAAATCTTTCATTTGTTTATCTTTTGCATTACAAAATATTTAACATATACTTTATGTCTCTCACATATTTTATCAAACACCTTCCTCATCCCCTCTTGACATGTAATTTCTTCTCCCTTTTATGAACCTCTTAACTATGTGGTTTTACACATAAATATATAATTAACACTAACTGCTCATAAAATATTTAAGCTATCAAACTGGAAGGCAGTGACACAATTCATTGACCAAACACGGTAATGATTCATGCAAGCAAAACTACAGCTGATGTAATTTGATCTGATCAACTTGTTTTAGCTAACTTTGTCCAGTAAACCCACAAGCTATGAGCTTTGTGTGATCTAGCAGTATATTAAATAATTTAAGTCACATTCCACTGCAATGGTTATCTTTTAATCAGGGAAAATTACCCAGCAAGCAAAGAATTTCACAGATTCAAAGCACAAATTAGCACGCTGCAAAAAAAAAAAAACCATCCAAACTAAACATTGCATCGAGTTCGAAAAGGGTTGTGAAAAATACAACTTAGCTGCAAATGAATTCAAAAGAGGTAATTATTCATTTTTTTATTGGATATTGCTCTTCTATTGCAGCCAGATTTTTAGAAGCAAATGAGGAGATTGCAGGTTTGAGGGAAATGTTTACGGCTATGGATACTGATAACAGCGGTGCAATCACATTCGATGAACTCAAAGCTGGCTTGCGAAGATATGGTTCAACCATGAAGGATACAAAGATAAAGGGCCTTATGGATGCTGTAAGTTTGTTGTGAAACAAATATCGGAACATCAGTTTCATGTTCTTTTGTGTGTGTTTTTCTCATTCCTTCCCTTCTTTCAACCATGACGGATACAGAGATAACAATCTGAGCTCCTTTTTCTTTCCCAGGCTGATATCGACAATAGTGGCACCATCGATTACGGAGAATTTATAGCTGCAACAGTTCACCTTAATAAACTAGAGCGCGAGGAACATCTCGTTGCAGCGTTCCGATACTTCGACAAGGACGGAAGTGGCTATATTACAGTGGACGAGCTTCAACAAGCTTGTGCAGAACATAACATGACGGATGTCTTGCTCGAGGATATTATCAGAGAGGTTGATCAAGACAACGTACGCCATTTCGCCTGCACAACCGGATGAAAACAATATTATCAAACTAACTAGTTTATTTCATTCATAATTGTTTCCAATTTTGTGACTTATGCTTCATTTCAGGACGGAAGAATCAATTACGGTGAATTTGTTGACATGATGAAGAAAGGAAATGGTTCGATCGGTAGACGAACCATGCGAAACAGTATGAACGTGAGCATGAAGGATGCACCCGGTTCCCATTAGTATCCATCCGCAAACATCTTGTACAGGTATCTTTGAACCGTCTCTTTAATCCAGTTTTCGGTTTCGAGAAGTTATGTTTAGGTTATAAATCCGATTCGTAGACATTCCGTCTCACTACTACTAGCCTGAAAATTCTAATGACCTGCAATGGTGTTTCCATGGTTATGCTTTTAGATACCACCATGACAGAAAATACAAGTCCATAGAGTTTCTTTTTGCAAGTGGAAGAGGCATTGCAAACCAATGAAATGAAAATTGTCGATTCCGATGAAAGAAAAACCCGGTTTTTGTCATTGTTTGCCAGAGTTTTTAGACCATTTGCTAATTTATATGATAGTTGGCAGCTTCTCTTTTATTTTGCAGTCCTGAAAACTAAGATTTTGCATTGTTGTTGGCAGATTGTACAGCAAAGCAACAAGAAGAAGATGGTCAGTGTGACAAAGCTTTGAAGCGATGGGGGTCTTCCAGAGCCATATCAGATATTTTCGGAGCTCCAAACGAAATTAAAAAAATAGACCCCTTAGAACAAAAATATATTATATTACTTTAGATAATTAATTTAATATTATATTAATAAATTATAGAAAAATAATTAAATTTTGTCAAACATTATTTTCATTGTTTTGTTAAAAACCCACTTTAAAATTTAAATACAACTAAAAGAAAAAATAAAAAATAAATTACCAAGGGTTCGTGTTAATTATTTATTTATGTGTAAAACCACATAGTTAAGAGGTTCATAAAAGGGAGGAGAAATTACATGTCAAGAGGGGACGAAGAAGGTGTTTGATAAAATGTGTCAGAGACATAACATATATGTTAAATATTTTGTAATACAAAAATAAACAAATGAATGGTTTGGCTTAGTGGTTAGGTGATGCGATTTCAAGCATTTGACCCATGTTTAACTCCACAAAAGCATGTTTTGTTTGGTTTAAATTTAAACCAATATGGTGTTGACATGTGTCATCATCTTATTGGATAAAAATATTAAATAAAAATATATAAATATTAAAAATAATATTCTAATTTTTATTTAAAATTATGACGTGACAGTGCCACGCCATCATCTATTATGACCTGGACATGCCATATCAGCATCTAGGTCCTTGTGTTCTGGCTTGGTCAGCACCTTTCGTTGACCATTAGTTGACTAACAGTTTCCATCCAACTTGACCCAAAATGAAACGTTTGGAGGTCAAACGATCCCAAAAAAACAATATGGGCAAATTTTACAATATTGTCAAACGTTAGGAGTATTTGCTTGCATTATGACTATTCTTTACTCCATCATTTACAATAGATTTTGCATCAACAACATCACTATTTTTCATCAAAAATTTGAGGTAATCTTATTTGAACTTTAAATTTCTATTTTTTAAAATTTATGTTCTTAAATAATTTTTAATTATGTTTTTAAGTTACTTTTGATTCTAGAAATGAGATATATATCATTTGAACTTATTTCCATTGAATCAACATGTTTTTAATTAAGAAATTTTCAAAAAATCCATTCATGAGGGTTTTTAATTTTTTTAATGTGCAAAAAGTTGTCATAATTGGTTGCAATTGGGTTGTTTATTGGATATATATATATATATATATATGCATATTTTTCTTGTAAGAAGTTAACCCATTCACCATTTTTTTGCTTAGAATCCTTGTTTTATGTTTGTCCACTAAGTGTTAGTCAAAATTCCCAAATGATCATTCCTTTTTTCGGAGCCACTGTTTTGAGAAAAAAATGCCTCCTGGAAAGAACCTAAAACGTCTTAGGCCTAGTGGTACTTCTCATCAAGGTCAATCCTCTAACTCTGCAAGTTTTGAAAATGCTTGCTTAGGGACCCTAATGCACTCGACCTATTTAATCATTTTTTTCAAAACTAAACCACTCCCTTTAGACTTGTTTAGCATTCCTCCTAAGGTTAATCCTAACCTTGTTTGTGCTTTCTTCTCAAATGCTATACTTGTCCATGTTGAAAATAACGAGAATAGAGTCATTGAGATAGAGTCGTAGCTCATGGGCCAAACATTTACTCTTAGTCCCTTCTCTATTGCTACCTACTTAAATATCCATGATGATGATGATCTTTTAAGGAAAATACATGTGGTTTTTCCCTTGATTTCCCCGATCGCCTCTTGTTACTCCTCATTACGTGGTTTTTCGTTGCTACTCTTGATGGTTTTATCATATCAAGAACAAAATTCGTCCAAATTTTGCTATGATCATAGTCTTAGACCTTGTTGATGTTGTCTCTAAAGAGGTCAATTACACCAAAACTCTTCCCTACGATTGCATTCTTAGTTACATCTTTAGGGGAAAATGTAGTGTCCACCACCTATGACCCTCCCATTCCATTCGTTAGTGCCATCGATCTCAAATCACCATGACATCTAAGAAGGAAACGAAATGGAAGAGCCACCAATGCCACCACCTCCAGAGGAGATATCGATGAAGACCATGTATGATTATATGGTTCAAAACTTTGGGAATGTAAATGTTTATATGTCTACAATTGATCGTCGCTTGGACTCGTTTGAGTCTACTATGGACCGTTGCTTGGACACACTTAAGAATTACATTCGCTTGATACATCATCACTTGATGCCTCTCTCTTATTCGCCACCCCATCCAGAAGATTAGACATTTCTATGATGCTTTTAGGACATTTGCATCTTGATTAGACTTATGCACTTTATGACTTATTTTAGAACTATATGTTTGATATTTTTTATTTTGTTGCTTTATGGATTATGTTTGAACTACTCTTATTGATGATTTTATGCTTATGAACTTCATTTTTATATGTTAAGAATAATTAGATATAATATTACATTGTTGAATTATTTGAGTTCCCTATTACAGTAACATATTTTCTCTTTTGAAGCTTAATTTAATTTTGTTATAACAAAAAGGGGAGAAATATTTATGAGTGTAAAATTTGCTAGCCAAAAATTGTTTTACTAAGGGGAGATGTTATTCTTCAAAAAAATATGACAAATCAATTTTAAAGCAAATTTTCACATAAGGTTTGTTATATCAAAAAGGGGAGATTGTTGAACCAACTTTTGATTTTGATATAGCATTAATCTTTAATGATTTAAGTTGTTAAAATTTGCATTTCACGATTTTATAAATAATTTTTCATAAACAATTTTAAAGCGTTTTTAAGTGTGAAAAATAATCACAAGTGTTATTGAGTAATTTCACATTTTATAAGTATTGTTTTAAATCTCAAAACACTTGATTTTTAGCCAAAACCTCTTCCAATCTCGAGACCAGCATTCCAATCTCGATACCAAAATTCCAAAAGGCTTTTTGGTATCGAAACCATGGTCTTGGTATAGAGATTGGTTGGTGAGTAACGATATTGATGGTTCACTAACTATAAATTTAACTGTTAGGATGCTCGGTCTCAATATCAACATCCCGATATCGATACCAAATGTGGAGGTGAGCATTAAATGCTCAAAATTAATGAATCCAACAGCTATATTCAATCCCCAACGGCTCCAAACGGCTAGATTAATGTTAGAAGAAATAAAAAGGACCAATATTCAAATGGAGAACAACAAGAAAGTCAATTACAAGATCAAACCAACATCAATAGAGTTTTAGAGTAAAATTTGTCAAATTCTTTGTAACACACTTGTGAGCTACATTATTAAATTTGCTCAAGTGTGATTTTGGGTGAGTGCTTAAGTTGTGCAAACACTTTTGCTTTTGTGAGGTTTTTCTTTTGTCTGCTAAATTTGTAATTACTCTTTGGAAGGGTGTGTATTCAAGATTTTAGGGTATAAATATTGATGTATTTGTAAGGTTACACCTTGTCCTTGAAAGTTTGCAAATCTAGTGGATTTGAGAAATCCTTAGTGTGGATGCTAAGGTAATGGATAGAGACTTGGTTTAGAAGTTGAATCACTCTAAATTCTTTGTGCAAAATTTTATTTTCGATTGCTTCCACCTCAAAATTTTCAAAGGCCAATTTACCCCCTCTTGGCAGTTTTCGATTGATAGATAAAGCTAACAAACATAAACCAAGGGGCGTGACCATTCATATCAATATTCATTTGTTATATGGATTGTGACAGTGATTGAAACAAACAATGTTAATTGCATGATTGGTCTTTAAGAGTTCTGTTTCTTTTTAACCAGCCTGAGAGTTTGACATTCCATGTGAAAGTGAAAACAATGGCATGGAATTCTGTCAAAAGTTTTAGCAGTAAATGACCAAAAGGTTGAGGAAAAACATGCAATCTATGTTTTTATAACTGTTTGTTTTCTTCTGTTGAACTATTTAAAAGTAATTGGCATGCACTTTCCAAATCAAGTTGGCCATTTCGACCATTGATGACACTTTGTGGTGCTCATTATGACTGTTTGCAAAACCAAAATTTGATCTGGAATTGAAATGTGAAAGAGATATTAGTGTAATGAGAAGAAAAATACCGAATTTAGCTTTACATTAAGGTTGGAACATTCATAGGCTTGTATGGAGGTAGCCTGATAGAGATGTATCAAAAGGTAGTTGAAGATAGTGGTCCCTTGAAAATTTCGATTCTTATATAATTTAAATATTTTTATATTTTTATTAAAAATTTGTATATGTTATTCTTATTTATAAGTTCATCCCTTATGATATAAAATCTTATGTTCGTCCTTGTATGAAATACTTTTAATTTTTAACTAGACCATGACTCTAGGGTTTGAACTTGTTTTGAAAGAACAAGTAATGGGAGTAGCTGGCTTTTGTCGAATGTTGAACACATGACAGTCGGATCTTGACAGGTCGGGTAAAATCGGGTACAGGTCAACTCAGGTTGATTTGACACCAGATCCGATCGGATTTAGGTCATGTCAAATCAGTTCGGGTTATTTTCAGGTTGATTTGACACCAGATCCAAATCGGGTTCAGGTCGGGTCATTTTCAATTCGGATCGATGTCAGTTCAGGAAAAAACAGTTCATGTTCGAAGCAGATAAAGACAGGTTAATTCAGGTTCGAGTGGACTTCAGTCGGATCTTGTTCAGATTGGGTCACACCATTGACAGATAAAATTCAGATCAGATGTTTATCGGATACGGATTGAGTTCAGGTCGGGTCGTTTTTATTTTTTGGATTAATTATTTTGTCATCTTTCGTGATTGTTGAATTGCAAGTTGTAATTGTATATGATTTCGAGTAAATTAAGAGAAAAATAAATATTCATGGATCAATTTTGTAAAAAATATAAATTTAATGACAAAATTGAAGAAATGTAAAATTACAAATAAAATCTTAAAATATAATTAAACACAGGTAATGGACTAAATCGAAATAAATTTACAATGTGAGGTTTAAATTAATATAAAAAATGACTAAATTAAACACATTTAAAAAATTATGGGAAAATTACAAAAATATAAATAAATAACAACTAACAATGGAATATGTAAATATAAATTTAAGGACTAAATTGAATACATATAAAAGTGAAAGACTTAAAATTGAAATAAATTAAAAAATACAAAAGGATTAAATCGAAATAAATGCAAAATGTGAAGAAATAATGAAAAATATACTAACTTGCATTCATTTAAAAAATTGAAAAATATAATATATATATATATATATATAATATAAAATTATATATAAACTATATAATTATTATAAACTATATATATAAATTATATTATGTGAACTATATATAAACTATGTATATAAAATTATATAATTATTATAAGCTATATATAAAATTATGTTTATGTGAACTATATATATAAACTATGTATATAAACTATATGTATAAACTATAAAAGTATATAGTTTATAAAATATTATTTATATAATATAGTATATATATAAACTATATATGTATAAACTATATAAAATATATAGTTTATATGTTATAATTTATATTAATATAATATATATATGTATGCATTAGTCTATTTAGGGTTTTTATGCATAGTATTTCTATAAACTATATAAGTAATTTACTTTATATAGTTTATATATATATATATATATATATATATATATATATAAATTATATATACTATACATGGTTTATACATACATTAGGGTTTAGGGTTTATTGTTTAGGGTTTAGGGTTTATTGTTTAGGGTTTAAGGTTTATATAAACTATATACTTTATTACTTTATATAGTTTATGCATAGTATTTCTATAAATTGCATCGAATTGAAAATTTAAGAAGATATTTACAATTAAACCATGACTAAAATGAAAGAAATTAAAAATCAAATACAAGTGGAAAAATGATGATTGTTGGAGGAGCATGAGCCTAATTAACCCAAAATATCTTGTTGGATACTATATTTGGCGCCAACTTCCCAAATTTTTCTATTCCCTCTAAATTTCTCAATTTCCCTATAAATTCTCAATTTTCCTATATTCTCAAAATTTCCTAATTTCCCTCTAAATTCCCAAATAAAATCAAAAATTTTCACACAAAAATCTTTCTTTTAAAAGGTTTTCTCCCACCACTCACTTTGAATAATATATATATATATAAGTATATACATAAATATATATATATAATTAAACATAAGTGACTAAAATAAAAGATTCTAAAATTAACATTAACATTTAATAATTGTGCACATTAAAGAAAGAAGGAAAATTAAAAATAATTAGAATTTATATATAGGACGTTAATGAAGCTTGGATTCTTTTTGGAGAAGATAATATATTGGCCACTGGATCTACTTTTGATCCAAGGATTGGAATTTGTTGGTACCTTTAGCCATGGATCAGTGACATCACGCCACCTAAAAAGTTAGGCCAACATTTAGTGTTTTGTCTCCTTTCAAAAACCAAAGTCAAAATTTTTCTCTCTTACACCACAAAAATCGGTGGCTAGAAGTAGTTTAGGGTTTTTTTTTATCAAATGCATATATTTGTAATACATGTAGGCTAATTATTAAATGTTAATGTTAATTTTAGAATCTTTTATTTTAGTAACTTATGTTTAATTATATATATTTTATATACTTATATATATATATATATATATATATATATATATATATTATATATATATATAATTATTCAAAGTGAGTGGTGGGAGAACCCTTTTAAAAGAAAGATTTTTGTGTGAAATTTTTTATTTTATTTGGGAATTTAGAGGGAAATTAAATTTTGAGAATAGGGAAATTGGAATTTAGAGGGAATAGAAAAATTTGGGAAGTTGGCACCAAATATAGTGTCCAACAAGACATTTTGGGTTAATTAGGTCTCATCTCCTCCAACAATCTCATTTTTCCTTGTATTTGATTTTTAATTTCTTTTATTTTAGTCATGGTTTAATTGTAAATATCTTCTTAAATTTCAATTCGATGCAATTTATAGAAACCTATGCATAAACTATATAAAGTATAAGTATAGTTTATATAAATGGTATAGTTTATATATTATTTTTTTCATTTATGTTATAATTTTAGATTTTTTTGTACAAAATTAACGGTATAGTTTATATTTTATATTTAGAGAATTAATCACATTTAATATTAATTTCATTTATTATCAATTATTATTATTTTATTGCCAAAATTATTTATATTATTAATGTAAACCATTAATAAATATACATAATAAATACTTTAATTATTAATATTATTTTTTCTTTATATAATTAAACTATAATTTATATAATTAAACTATATTAATTTTCCTTTGCATTATTATAATGTTTATCTAATTTACATTTAAATAATTTTATTAATTTTATTAATAATTTTATATAATCGGTATATTTATTAATATAATTATCATAATAAATATTTTATTATACATTTAAAAAGTAATCATATTAATATTTTAATTAATCATAGTTAAAAAACTGAAAATTATAGGATTTCCATGGTAATATATAAGTCAGATAAATATCAGATCAGATCATTAAAATGTCGGATCATTTACAGGTCAGTTTAAAAAAAGTTAGGTTAAAAGTAAGTAAGGTTAAAAACATGCCAGGTTGAAAACATGTTATGTTGAAAACAGGTCAGGTTGAAAACAGGTCGGGTAATACCAGTTATTTATCAGGTTAATCTCGGGTTCGGGTTCATATCATTCGGATGCAGTTCGGGTTTGGGTATCATATTTTCGGTTCAATTCGGGTTCAGGTCGTTCTCAGGTCGGATGCAGGTCGGGTTCGAATTCACAATTTTCAGGTCCAAATCGGTTCAGGTCAACACCAGTTCCGACTCGAGTCGGTTTCGGATCGCCACAGTGCAGGTCAAAAACAATTTTGACTCAAGTCGGTTTCAATCAGTCTTACAGATCGGGTCAACTTTTTGCGGCCCTAGTCACATGGAAAGATCAAAACAGAAAAAGCTATGGTAAAATGACTTACTTTAAACAATGGTAGTAAGTACATAAGTATTTGATTTTCTTAAGAAATTATTCAAAAAGTATCCAATTAATCTAGATAAAATATTATAAATATGTATTAGAATACAACTTTATGATTTATTCTTTTTTCCAATTCTTTTTTCCAATTATAATGTCAAGATTTAAAATAGATTTAAAGTTTCATCCGCTCGATCAATTTAGTTATGGGCCTTTCCAAGTTGGGTTGGAACTATAAAACACATTGAAACAAAATTGTAGATAAAATATTATAAATATGTATTAGAATACAACTTTATGATTTATTCTTTTTTCCAATTCTTTTTTCCAATTATAATGTCAAGATTTAAAATAGATTTAAAGTTTCATCCGCTCGATCAATTTAGGTTATGGGCCTTTCCAAGTTGGGTTGGAACTATAAAACACATTGAAACAAAATTGGGCCCGAAAATATCAACCCTAAAAGTAGAGAGAGAGAGAGAGAGAGAGAGAGAGAGAGAGAGAGAGAGAGAGAGAGAGAGAGAGAGAGAGAGAGAGAGAGAGAGAGAGAGCATAAACCTTATCCTTCTGATATATCATATATGTGCTTTGTGTAAAAGTATCTGATTTTTTATTTTCGGGTGAAGAGATCCTCCAAAGGAAATGGATTCGTCGAGTATTGTGTAGAGGTGGGTAAAGGAGCTACCCGCCCTTTAGCCTGCGGATTTTGACGGTGCGGGTTTAAATGAAGTTTACGGATTTTGATGGTGCGAATTTAAATGGAGGGGTTTAAAAAGTTTGTATTCATAAATGGTTTTGAATTTTAAGGTCCGTGACCCGTCCATTTAACCTGCGGATTAAACGGGTTTAACCGCGGCTTGTTTAATAAAAATAATTTTAAATACTTTAAATACAATAAAAAATAATGTTTTAACTTACTACACCTTTAAAAATGATCGAGCAACTTGAAAAGGAAGATAGCACCGTCAACATAATAAATAATATTTAAATTTTATTTTAAATAGCCGGAAATGATTATAAAATAATTTTTTAAATTTTTTAATCATTAAAATATATATATAATGGTATAATTACTTAAACTCAAATTAAAAAAACAATATTTACTTATATCACCAAATTGTAAAACAAATAAAACAATAACCACATTATAATTTTATAAAACATGATTATTCAATGCTATAATAAGACTAAAATACTATATAAATTTTTTAATTTTTATTTTTTAAAATGAAGAATAATTTGATACATTAATGATGTATATTTAAATGAAAAAATATTAAGCAGCGGTAGAATTATAACAAACGCACTAATAAATTTAAGAACTACAATAATTATAAGTAACATCATATTTTTAAATAATTTATTTTCTTTTTCTATAAAATTCTTTAAATTTATTTTCTCTAAAATTTTATAAATTTTAAATTAAACGGGCTTTAACGGGTTTTACGGGTAGCCCGCGGTTATACCTATTAAATCTGCGAATTTAACAGTCTGGGTTAAAAAGCTCGAAATTTAAATGATTTTCAATTTTTTAAACCCGAAATCCGCACGAATTACGAGTTAAACGGATAACCCGCGGGCCTAGCCTATATACCAAACTCTAGTATTGTGACTGCTCAAATATCAAATCAACTTGTAGCCACTGATTGGAAAAAGCCTATCCCTTCACTCTCTCATGGTAACTCTTTTTCTCTCTTTCTGTTTGGATGCTGAGAAAATAGAGGATCAGAATAGACCATGATAAAAGTTTTGATTTTGATTTATGGGTTTGTTCCAGTGATTATTATTCATAAGAAATGAAGAATTAGGCAGCATGGGTGAAATTGTTGAACCAGGTCTCATTTTAATTCCTTTTAATAAAAAAGGTTTGAACTTTAATTTTCCCATTTTAATTTTTATTATGTGACAGAAATTTCCCAATAGCCTAACAGAGGACTGTTTGGTTTTCTACACGCTCTTCTTTTTACCCGTGTGTATTTTACAGTTGTGTGTTTATCTTCATCAATTGTTCCTAATTTATGATGCTAAATAGTGAATTCCGATTTGCTCAGAAAAGAAAAGAAAAGCATTGAATTGTAATATATTTTTTCCACTGATGGCTATCAGGTAACCTCAATTTGAATAAAAATCTAGCTGGTAAGCAGTTTTTATCAGTGTCGGATCCTACAAAATCTGAGCGGGGTTATAGATCTCTACGCATAAGCGGTTTGTTTGGAGGTAAAAAGGAAAACGGTGAGAAGGGTGATGAACCTTCCAAGGTAAGTGATGGTAGCATTTGTTTGTTATCTATACCACATGTTAATGATAGGGAAGCGGTGGCGGGTTAATGAACGTTGCTCTTGTTGAAGAATCAAACCTAGAAAGCTCTAGACTCGATGAAGAATAATGATGAATGAATAGAGAAGGTGGCGACAATAGCTAGGGTTCTTTTAGGGTTTCTTTGAGGTGCTGAAAACAAGATAAGAAACAATATTAGAACAAGATAAACAAAATATAAAGAAAATTGAAAATAAAATAAGATAACCAATAAATCAAAAGATCTCCCTTATGAAGGTAAACGGTAAAGATGATGATGGTGAGGATGGATTTGTGGAAAATAGATGGATAAGTGTCCTATCGAGCCCTTCTAGTCGCAATGAAAAGGCAAACACGATAATGTGGCTCTAACCAACCCTCCTAGTCGGGATGAAAAGGAAAATTGGAGTGTGAAGATTAATCTCCCTCACAAGAACTTGAAAGAACTCAATAAGAAGAAGCTTCGAAGGCAGAAGACAATCAGCACTTGCAAAAACGAACTCTCGTTGTATTATTAATCAAAGAAATATTGAATCACAAAGTTTAATGAAGCCTCCTTTATATAGGGGATGAGTTCTAAAGGTCCTAAATAACTAATGAATAAAATAATAATAAACTAAACATATATTAACTCTAATTCCTAATAAAATAATAATAACTAAAGATAATATTTTTAACCCAACCTTAATTCCTAATAAAATAATAAATCTAATCTTAAAAGATAATGCATCATCCTATATTAAGTTATATTACAAATAATCAATAAAAATATTGAAAATTCGTAATATTTACAAAATCCCGTATAAGATTTTCTGCATGCACCCTCTTCAGTAGAATAGTCATATCTTGAGTTCTCGTTATCGGATTGATGTGATTCAAGAACCGTTGGAAAGATAAGAGACAGATGGTTGTAACTCCATTAGACATCTTGACTAAATAAGATCAGGATCCCATTCAAAAAGTCATCATAAGTCTGCTTCTGTTCTGATCTTCTTTTCCAATGCTTGGACGAGTGGATCATTTGGAAGAGTTATTATTTCTTCCTTTGATGTGAGCCTTGTGATGCATGTATCATCCTCCCTTTCTTCAAAAAGATTCGACCTCGAATCTGAAACATTAAAGGGGGAAACATTAGAATCTTTTAATGATTCATTCACATTATACTTACCGAATAGATATGCTTTGAATCCTCGAGACTTTGTTCTTCTAATAGGTTCGAGTAGAAACATTAGTCCAAATAAGCATATATTATGGAATCTGGTGCATGTATCATTCCCCCACTCTTCAAAAGGATTCGTCCTCGAATCTGAAAATCCAAGAGAAAGAGACTTAGATGTGTTGAAAGGAAAACTTGTGAAACATTTACCAGGATCAATGTGATGTGTCTTTATACGTTTCAGTCGAGGTTTCTTCTTTGTAGGAACTGATTTCTTGTAGTCTTGAAATCCTCTTTTGCATACAAGTCTTGTAATATGATGTTTAGGTTGAAATTCAACATGGTGTCGACCACTGTTTGCTTTCTATATGATTTCTTCAGATAATTTCTCCATGGTTTTATTCGTGTGTGGTGAGAATGAGTGTTTAAAAACCATGTCAACTGGTTTGTAAAAGTAATCCCTTAAGTCTCCTAAGTGTGGTTAATGAATTAATAATTCTTGGCATGAGATTTGTGGATTATAGAACCTGTTTAGTTGGCAAGGAAACTCATATACAAGATAAAACTCATTAAAAGTATGGGTAGAAATATCAGAAATATCCGAGTTATCGTGATATACATCTTTTATATGTTCAATTCTTGGAATAGTAGCATGCTTAAGAGTATACCTTCGTGGTAGTGCATCGTCTAATGTGTTTTGCTTACCTCGGTCAGCTACGCACTTAAAGGAGTTGTGTTTAGTATGGATGACAACTTCACGAGTCTTACCTTGTAAGAAGGAGAAGAAGTATGTTACAATGTCATTAAAATGAGTAATAAAATATTTACCTTTGGACTCCCATAAATCGTGACTCTTCATTGATATGGCATAGTGATTAGGGCTTTCAGGTGGTAACCCATCAGGAGGGTCACCTAATATTATTCGACAACTCTTGGCTATGGAAGATGGTGTGGGCCAGTCTCGTGTTGCTTTTACTATTTCATCATTTACATGGATTTTCTGTGCACGAACTATAAAGCATGTAGTGTTGTTCAAGTCATGTTTCGTCATTAAGATGGCGTCACGAGCAAGCTTTCCTAGATATAGCCTTTTTGTAACAAATCCAACTCTTTAGTTTCTTCGAGATTGTATGTTTGACGAGGTATGATGGAACCTTGAATTAGATTGGTTTGGCATTGTTTTCCTCTTTTCAGTGGTAGTTCATTAGGTAGATCACCTAACACTTCTCAAAAATCCTGTAAAAGAGATGAAAACACACTAGACAAATCCTTGTTAATGTTAGAAATTGAAACAATTGATTCCCTAAAGCGAACAATGATGAAAGGTTATTTGTAAAGAAGGTTCTCTCTCAATTCTTTTGTGCTCACACATAGATTTTGAGTCACTCTTTTCTTCTCACATTTAGGTTCACTCACCTCCCATGGGTCATTATTCTTTTGGCTTTTATAACTAGTGACCCTCTTTTGCTTTTGCCTCTTTCTCACTTTTTCTTTTTTTGCTTTCCCTACCTCCTCACAAATTATCATTTGATCTTTAGGGACTGGAAGTGTGTCATTCTTTGGTCGTTCTTTCTCCTTGTCAGGTTTTGTCATCTCTTAGCTTTTTCAGAGATAGAGAGAGAGAAGGAAGGATTTGAAGGATTACCTTGGTAAGAGGTTGAAATACCTTGGTAATGTTCACTGAATCGAGATCTCCTTTGGATTTGTGCTTCGATTGTCATTGCTTTCTTTAGTGTATCTTCAAGGTTTTCGTACCCTTGTAGATCAAGAAGATCAGTGATGTTTGAGTTTAAGCCGACGACGAATCTTGACACGGTGACTTCTTCTTTTTCGGTTATGTTAGCCCTATTGAGTAAGGACTGCATCTCCTTGTAGTAATCTTCAACTAAACTTCTACCTTGTCGAAGCCGGTGTAGTCATTGTTTAACTTCTCGTGTATAATGTGTCGGTAGGAATCGGTTCCTCATGGTTTGTTTGAGGTCGGTCCAAGAAGTGATTGTGGAATTGGAAGTTCTGGATCTTTTTCCTTGTTTGCATCCACCAAGTTCGAGCATATCCTTCGAATTGTGTGGTGATGAGGTGAACTTGTTTAGCTTGGGGGCAGTCATGGTATGTGAACATGAGATCAACTTTTCCTTCCCATTCGATGTACCTGTCTGGATCATTGTCTCCTTTAAAAGACGGGATCGTGAACTTTGGTTTTGCAAAGAGTTCGGGTGCTTGAAAACGTGTTTGTTCTCGCCCGGGTACCAAAAGTTCAGCATTGTTAGGTCTTGGATTCTGGTTTGGTAGATCCAGTTGTGGTTTTTGTCGTTCTCTCACGATTTCATCAAATCTTTCAACTTGAGTCGTGAGTCGGGTAGTGTGGCTAAGATAGCCGTAAGTGTCTTGTTGTTATTGTCGCCCATCCTGAAATCATAACACTCAAAAGAAAATTTTAAAGTAAAATAAAAATAAAAGGAAGAAAATTCAACAAAGCAAGAAACTTCACAAGTCACTCCAAGAAAGTAACACAACGAGAGGCAAGTAAGCTGATCTTGTACTCTTTAAAACTCACTTTACCAAGTAGTCTTCCACAGTTCGTATCGGAGTTTGATTACTAGCAAAGGCGATAAGAAAAAACTTAAAAGTTCTAAGAGGCCAAACAAGGGTTAGACTCCAAGAGAACGAGAATGCAAAGAAGGAAGAAGTATGCAAACTCTTTAGTCATACTAACACAAGAAAGATAATGTGTTAGATAATGCACAAGAACAATAAAAAGAAAAAACAAAAGAACTTAAAGCACTAAGAGTCAAAAAAAAAAACCAACCCAGAAACCTGGAAAACGCTGGATCAACTTGAGCAACGTTTTTTAGGGGTTATCGGTGTCCAAATATTTTGGGAAAATTCTTGAATGTCTTTCGATGCGTCAAGAAACTGCTTGTAAAATTTCAGAACCAAATACCTTCAGTAATATCCAGTGGACTCTGTTGAATGGTGAGTCCTCAAACAATCTGTTTTTCTTGATCACTTTGTTCGAAGGTGTTCTTGATCTCCAAATATTCTGCTTTTTTTTTTGTAAATGATCTTCAATATATGAAGTTGCAATCTAGAAATTTTCACCACGAAATTCCTCCTGTAGAATTTTCAAGAAATTCGACAAGATCCTAGACCAAATTTGCCGATAAAACTTGAAGAATGTATTTCGGACTGGAGATTTATATTAGGATGAATATGACATCTGGATAAAATCAACCCTAAATACCTTCGTTTGAATTTTTTTTTTTTGAAATTTTGGCTTTTTTGTTTTTTTTTTTTGCCTTTTTTTGTTTTTTTTAAATAGCAAACTAACAAGAAGGATTTGAATCTAAATTAAAATTAAATAAAAAGAACTTGAAACGATGAATCTTTTCTGGACTAGCTCCGTTGGGATACCTTGGCGGTTTTGTGTGCAAGAACAAGCAAGATTGCTTGCTTCTTTCCAAGAATCGGCCCAAATCTGATACCAATTGATAGGGAAGCGGTGGCGGGTTAATGAACGTTGCTCATGCTGAAGAATCAAACCTAGAAAGCTCTAGACTCGATGAAGAACAATGATGAATGAATAGAGAAGGTGGCGGCAATAGCTAGGGTTCTTTTAGGGTTTCTTTGAGGTGCTGAAAACAAGATAAGAACAATATTAGAACAATAAACAAAAGATAAAGAAATTGAAAATAAAATAAGATAACCAAGAAATCAAAAGATCTCCCTTATGAAGGTGAACGGTAAAGATGATGATGGCGAGGATGAATTTGTGGAAAATAGATGGATAAGTGTCCTATCGAGCCCTCCTAGTCGCAATGAAAAGGCAAACACGATAATGTGGCTCTAACCAACCCTCCTAGTCGCGATGAAAAGGCAAATTGGAGTGTGAAGATTAATCTCCCTCACAAGAACTTGAAAGAACTCAATGAGAAGAAGCTTCGAAGGCAAAAGACAATCAGCACTTGCAAAAACGAACTCTCGTTGTATTATTAATCAAAGAAATCTTGAATCACAAAGTTTAATGAAGCCTCCTTTATATAGGGGGCTGAGTTCTAAAGGTCCTAAATAACTAATGAATAAAATAATAATAAACTAAACATATCTTAACTCTAATTCCTAATAAAATAATAATAACTAAAGATAATATTTTTAACCCAACCTTAATTCCTAATAAAATAATAAATCCAATCCTAAAAGATAATGCATCATCCTATATTAAGTTATATTACAAATAATCAATAAAAATATTGAAAATTCGTAATATTTACAAAATCCCGTATTAATCCCGTATAGGATTTTCTGCATGCACAGTCTTCAGTAGAATAGTCATATCTTGAGTTCTCGATATCGGATTGATGCGATTCAAGAACCGTTGGAAAGATAAGAGACAGACGGTTGTAACTCCAGAATACATCTTGACTAAATAAGATCAGGATCCTATTCAAAAAGTCATCGTAAGTCTGCTTCTGTTCTGATCTTCTTTTTCCAATGCTTGGATGAGTGGATCATTTGGAAGAGTTATTACTTCTTCCTTTGATGTGAGCCTTGTGATGCATGTATTAGTTAATATCAACCATTTTTTAAAAAAATGGCTGCATTTGTATATGCATCGATATGATCTGAATTATGAGGACGATAGCCTCTTTAGCATTGCTATGGTACTATCAATGCTTTCATATTGTTGTGGCTTTTTTATTATAGTTGCTAATACTAGTTATGTTGGCCCCAACTTTGCCTATAATTGAAAATGATGTTTCGAATTATGCCTCAGGTGCTGATATCCCTCGGTTCCAATGACCTTTTAAGTTTTCTTTGAAACCATTATTCATATTTTACTTATTATTGCTAATTGTTTTTGCAAAACATATTGCTAGCATTTGATCCTGGTAGTTGGGTAGATTAATGTCGATACTGAAAAACAGGCCTTTTTTTTTTTTTTTGAGAAATGAGAAACAGGCCACTTTATTTGTGTTTTATCGGTATAGCTAACATGTTGTTGCTAGCACTTGATCTTGCTAGCATTTTACTTATTACTAGTTATGTTGATCTTCGTATTTTACTGCTATTTGTATTTTATCAATTGAAAAGATAATGAGAAACAGACCACTTTTGTATATCCATGGGTGGAATATATCCAATGATGTTGTCTGCAAAATTAAGGGAGTCAATATGCCGTGATGATTTATCGTCTGTTTTTCTGCTTTATAAAACATGTTCATATACATAGAGAGAGATTATGGTTCTAGTGTCTTATCATGAGATTTACATAGTGTTTCGTGATCACTAATCTGTTTCGAAGTCCCAAAATTGATTGGCTGCTACACGAGCTTCATCATCATTCACAAATGCACTTGATAGTTTAAAGATTGCATCATGGTTGACTATGTACCTCCTTGGAAACTAATGCGTCTTTCCTACTAATCTTATTTTAGGCAGGAATTCTTGGAAATATGCAAAACCTCTACGAGACAGTGAAGAAAGCACAAATGGTTGTCCAGGTTGAGGCTGTGCGAGTGCAAAAAGAACTCGCTGCGTACTGAACTTTCTGTTACCTGCTATTAATTTTACTATCTTAAACTTTAATTTATTTCTGTTGTGAGATGTGAATTTCATTTTTTCCCATTCTGTAATACAGAGCGGAGTTCGATGGCTACTGTGAAGGTGAGCTCATAAAGGTATATTATTTTACGGTTCTCTTTCTTTCGCGCTAGTTCTAGCAATGTCGTATGCTCTGTTACTGCTTTATATCTCAAACCAGCTGTCTGATGCATCTCTCTATTATTTTCTTTTCAGGCAACATTAGCCGGAAATCAGCAACCCATACGCATAGAGATTACTGAGGCAGCAATGGAATTGGGTGCAGAAGTGAGTATGATTATTGAACTACTTCCCCACAAGATTATTTGAGAACCATCCTCTATTATAGGCATGCCGAGGGTTATTTTTATTTTCAAAATCCTTCTAAGGAGTCATTCAGGGAAGAAACCGTTTTGAACTTCCACTTGTTTAGTGAGGTCTCGATACTGAGCCATCTCGGGCTGCAATTATAAGCCATCGAGGATAATTTAAATGCTGTTTTGTGTGGTTTTGCTTGATTCCTATATCAAGTTGCTAACTTTTTATACTTAATTCTTGTAGAAGCTATCACTTTTAGTTAATGAAGCATACAAGGATGCACACCAAAAAAGTGTCCATGTGATAATCTCATGATCTTTCATAATTATCAGATGGAATCTTTTTCGAAATCATTTTGCTGATGATATTCCCTATGAAGGAAAGAATGAGTGACCTTGCACAAAGCTTAGGAATGCCACAAGGTCTCAGTGAGGGATTAAAACAACAATAATCTCTCAAATATGCACGCGAATGGAGATTGGTTAGGGATTGAAGCAACGATAATCTCTTGACTGGCACTGGGGGTTAGCTTCGATTTTGCATATTGACCAATGGTAGAAATGCTCGTTTTGTATGTTTTACTGTGAATTTGCATTGCGAGTTTGGTTTCCCTGATCAAATTCACGCTCTGTTCTAAAACTCCTTGATGTTACATAAGTTATTATTTCTATTTAGAGTTGAATTCATTGCCTTTCAATTTCATTTTCCATACCTATTTTCTAGGAAACCAAACATCGCAGAGAGTATTTTCTCATTGTTCATGGTGAAATGTAGAACATATGAAGAGCTTGCGCTCAAGATTGTCGAACGAATCCTAACTAATGAATCATTCCTAAACTCGAATAACACACACTAATTAAATGATAGCTGTAAAGAAATTCGTTTAGACTTTGGCAACTTTTCCCCTTTCAAGAAGGACCTGAAAATAATGAAAGCTCGCCTGGGTTGATACAATGGAACTTCATGGCCGGCTCCTCTGACTGTTGCAAAGGTCAGCCCTTCATAAACTTCAGTCCATCCTCCAACCTAAAACCACATTTTTAGAGATTCAAATTGGGAATTTTTTTTTGAAGAGAAAAAAGATTTTGGGATTTGAATACCTGATTGCCAGAGTACCATGGATACCATGGAGTTTTGATGTGCAGATTGAGATGGCCAAGGGAAAACCTGGTGGCTGTCACTGGTACAACTGAATCTGTGTCTCCACTGCAACAGCAGATTAAAAATCATGCATATTGGTATTGAGAATTTTTTAAGGTGTTTATGTTTGATTCGTGTACGTTTATCGTTTGTGTATTTATTAAGTTCATTTAATGTTTGCAAATATATGCTTGCTTATATATTCGTGAACATGTTCTTTTACACCCCTCACGACAAACAAATTTCTATTGTCATTCATATGATTCGACTTGTTCCAAGAAAAACTCACCTGAAAACCCATATTCTTTGGCCTGCTGCAATCAGCTCTTTGTATATTGGTAGCATTGAATTTTCAGAATCTTTCCAGTTTTTGATAAGAACATCACTGTCCAATGGCAAAAAGGAACCATTTCAACAAAAAGTTCAAGTTAAATGATAAAGTGAAGTACTTGGAAAAATACCTGCAAGCAGTCCATTTATAAGGAATTCCCGTAGTATTTGCATGCATAGCCTTTTGCACGTCCGGCCGATTGTAGTATCTCTCGGCATAGTTCTCTGTACATGGATCATAACCTGAAACCCGTCGATGCAAGAGAGCGTTTTTGACCCTCATATGCTGTCGTGAACCGTTCGTCAACGCCAAGCAAGATGGAGTATAAATGCTGTACTGATCGATGTCACCGAACTCGTGGTTAATGGCATAACTTACAGCGTCATCACATCTTGCAGAGCTTTTCTCTTCTGTGAAATTGCAGTCTTTCATGATGGATTTGTATGTTTTATCTGAAATCATTGAATGGCTCCACCAGTATGTAACAGTTCCAATACTGTCATAGTAATTATCTGTCACAGCATTTCCTACCTGTATATGATCAAACAATTTTTAATCTTTTTTTGGTTGATTGTTTCTGGTTAGTTTATGTACATGTCTGGTTTACTTACCATAAATCCTCTAAGATTGATGATTGGATTCGAGTGAGCTTTATTATAATAATGGATTTTCTTGGCTAACTGGGGAACATAATGCCCTATATAAACAGTGATAGAAACTTGTTATAAGTTGAACAAAATTTCCGACCGAGACCAGTACTGTTATTTACCTGCGTAACTTTCTCCGGCAATGTAAAATTCCCGGTGTTTGTAGGCCGGAAATCTCGACATCCATCTGATGAGAAATATAAGAGCATCCTGAGCTGTATCATGAACAAATCAGATTATAAGATCTCGAAAAATCCGGTTGGGTGCAATATTGAAACCGTTCAATCACCTGTTCGATTGTCTCCGGAGTCTTTAAGATCCGAGCTCGTATTTGTGTAGGAGAATCCAACTCCAGACGGTGATTCCAGGAACAGAATGTTTGCTTCTGCAAACAATGAAGAACAAGAATTTGTTTGATGAATTAACTATAACTTGATACCTTTGTCATATTCGGACATACGAAATACAAGCATGAAAACAAACATCGAACGCGCGTCGAGCTCGGATACTGGAGATTAAACTAGTAATAAACATCGGATTATTACCTGTATTCCATGAATATTTGTTAAGATAAAGGGATGAACCAGTCTTATTAATCCGAAATGGTCCGATTTCCTCTGATGCTCCATATGCAACAGATGAACAACCAGGTCCTGTGCACAGTGAGCAAGGACATGTTCAAAATCATCAAATCCTCAATATTTTATTCACATCAACTGTTTACTTTTTACTTTCAAAATACACGGGAAAAGCATGCAAACTTTGAGCACTGGGACAGGTTCTTGATGAACCAGGAAGAGATGTGACCTTTGAAATGAGAGGTTCCAATGGTTAAAAAATGGATGATTTCAAGCAAGAAAGCAAAGCAACATCAAAGAGTGGTCCAGTTTCGGTCTCCACTATGTAAAACGTGACGCCTTCTATTCTTTGTCTAGCTAGCTAAGCTAAACCACTTGCAGTAGGGTCAACCTTTGTGTGCATAGTGGAGCAGATACTGCAGAAACTTGGGGCTCTCAGGGACCAATGAAATGGCCATTATTACCCCAGAATTTGTATCTAAATCACACTTATTTTTCCGTCCTTGAACTATATTCAAAGTCTCGGTTTACCCTAAACCAGTAGGTAAGATTGTGACTATTATATATATATATATATATATTATATATATATATATATATATATAACATTTAATGGTGTCACTGGAGCAATCTGAGAAGGAACACCTTACCTTCTTTGCTCTTAATAAAATATCTAACCTGACGGTTTTCTTCTCAGATGTCAGCTTCTGTTATTAATATGCCAGATAGGGACCCATTTTATTATTATTTTCACTAAACATCACCCCAAATTTACAATTTGATCCACATATTTTAATACGTTTAAAATATGAGGACTTAATTGACTAGATTAGAGTGTTTTAGGGTAATTTAGAATCTGAGACATTGTTTTAAGGACTTAGGGTGAGTTAATCCAGTTTAAATAGTCGTTGAATTATTCCTCCATTTCTGGGTCAGAACAGCTCGTGCAACCCCACATCATCATCATCACCGTGTTCACAGAAATGCGCGTGCTTCAAAGAAATTACAAAAGGGAACTGTAGGAGAGTTGAGGCAAAGCTTCTTCTTTTTTTCTGTACTTTCCATGGCTGCCTTCTCTCTCAAGTCAACTCGAAGACAAAGAAGATAAAGAGAGGTGGAGGGGTGCATTTTGCAGCAGAAGGCATGGGAACTTTGGACGGTTCCTACTGGAAAAAGTTGCTTCACTTTTGTGGTAGCTTTTTGGGGTTTCTCTTTTGCCTCGAGAAACAAACTACCAGATACAAACAAATCGAATAAATAAAGTGACAAATGAAATTCTTCAGAGGGGAGAAGCTTTTTTGCTTGAGGGAATTATGATGGGGTTTATGCAGTTTGTAGAAGGAATTAAAAACCCTAAAAGAGGATACAGACACAGAAAGACGACGGGTCCCCACTAGGATGGTAAATGAGATCAGACATACAGCAAACTATTCGAATTCAGTAATACTCAGAGCTCAACTCGGCTCATTTTGCAGCCCTAGGCATGTGGGATGTTTCAGTTTCAGTTTACTAATTTGCTCTTAAACTGTTGCAGTTCATGGCATTGTGTTTTTTAAAGATCTTTATTATCGTGCATGCAAGCTCGGTACGACATGGTAAAACTAGAAACAGATGATATAGAAAGAGACTGACCTCCATTTAGCCAAAGCACCAGAGGTTTCTTCTCAGCAACCGAAGTGGCTTCGATGAGCCAGTAAAAGAGAGCCCGGCCGTGTGTCTCGTCGACAGTAACGTAGCCCGAGAACTGTGAAAACGCCACCGGCGGTTGCCCCGGAAGCGAAGAGATTCGATCCAGTCGCTGTTGTTTCGGTACAGCAGCAGCAGCAACAATGCCGTCCACAACGAGTGAAGCTAGCAAGAAGAAGAGGAAGCATTTGCTTTCAAAGTAGTTTGCTGCTGCCATTTCAGAACCAATGAAGCACAAGGCTAATGCCATAGGTTTTATATATGGTGAATTTGCTGTGCATTACACCGAGAGAGAGAGAGAGAGAGAGAGGAGGGGTCCATAACTCATCATAAATGCATCACAAGGCTCCATGTATTGCCATACTGTAATTTTGTAAAAAAGAATATACTAGTAGTAAGTGTAAACCCCAATGAAAAGGCATGCATTAACTTTCTAAATCTGTAATATCTTGAAGATATACTTAGCTAAGCAGTTTTGGGTTCTTCTAAGAGAATAGCTACCTAATCCCATTAATGGAGAAGGGTAGACGTTTATAAACTTTGGTTTTGGATTAGTTTGGGTATGTTATCAGCCATATTTAAATACAATTATCTTATTGGCAATTTTCTCAATAAATCACCGGTGATCGGTATATATATCGATTTAACACCGATCAGATTATATTTCTCGATCTAACACCCGTAGCAGTAAAGCGCGCCCCTGAACCGCGCTATACGCTGATTTGGCACCACGCGGGTATAGCGCACCCCTTAACCCGCGATATACAGTGATCTGGCGCCACGTGGGTATAGCGCGTCCCCTGATCCGCACTATACCTGGGTATCTGACACGTGGGGTATAGCGTGGTGCAGGGGGCGCGCTATACTCCTAAATACCCAACTCTTCACGTCCCCATCCTCCCTATAAATTCTTCCATCCTCAATCACTTTTATCACACCAAATTCTCTCAAATTCTCTCAAATATTCTATCTTTTTAAGGTATATTTTATAATATTTTTACTATTATGTATTTACTTTATGTAATAATTTACTAATATAATTCTTTTGCAGATATATAATGGAAGGCAGTCTACTTCGCTCGGATGGAAATCATATATATCTACACTGTGCTGATACGGTAACATTTTAACGTTTTAATTTAATTTAAATTATTAGTAATATTTAGTTGATTTATTTAATGCATGATTATTAGATTAAGAATTAAATATCTCGACACTTTGCTGATACGGTAACATTTTAACGTTTTAATTTAATTTAAATTATTAGTAATAATTAGTTGATTTATTTAATGCATGATTATTAGTTTAAGAATTAAATATCTCGACATTTTGCTGATACGATAGCATTTTAACGTTTCAATTTAATTTAAATTATTAGTAATAATTAGTTGATTTATTTAATGCATGATTATTACAGTAAGAATTAATTTTTGTAATTATTTATTTTTAGGAGAAGGACCGTGTATTAGATCCTTTTATTAGGAATCTTAAGTTAGTGATACCCAGCCGTGTCTTGCCGTATTTAGTAGAGGCTGGATTCGGTTACATAGGTAGATATCAGGGTCACTGTAAGATAGAGCCAGACCTGATTTTTGCCTTAGTAGAGCGGTGGAGGTCGGAGACCCACACATTCCATCTTCTGTGCAGAGAGTGCACGATCACGCTTGAGGATGTTTCTATGCACATGGGGATTTCGGTGGATGGAGATGTGATATCGGGGATAACTTCCGATTCTTGGACTACTTTGTGTCGGGATAGTCTAAGACGTGTCCCGGAAAATTTTATCGGAGGTAGGATACCGTTAAATTGGTTAGATGCCAATTTTCGGGAGTTGAGCGCAGATGCCTCTGAGGATGAGGTTAAGATGTATGCACGGGCATGCATATTGCAGTTGATAGGAGGGTTGCTGATGCTGGGCAAATCGCACAACCTAGTTCACTGCATGTGGTTGCGACATCTTAGCGACTTTCGTCTCGTCGGATCATTCAGTTGGGGCTCGGCAGTTTTGGCTTTGATGTACATGGAGATGTGTGGAGCCACTGACTACATACGTAATGCTATCGGTGGATGTCTCCTGCTGCTGCAGTCTTGGGCATGGTATCGATTTCCCTTTTTATGTCCTGTTGTGAAGAACACATTCGTATTTCCACTACTTCTGAGGTAATTATAAAATTGATTTTGTATATTAATAATTTTATATAGCGTATAATAAATTTTTTTCCTTGAATAGGTGGTCTACTGATAGGAAAAATCATCAGGAGCTACCTGATGATTTAGAAAAAATTAGGGTGCTAATCAATCAGAAGGCTGGCACACAGGTATGAATTTTAATGTTAAAAATCGATTTTAGATTATAGTTATATAATTAGATTATTATTTTGATAAAAATTATATATTATTTGTTTTAGTTTGAAGGGGTGTCATATTCTACTGATTATGTGAGGGCGGAGATCCCACCTGAGTTGAGGGGTCCATTAGATGTTTGGATGGCGATGGTCCCTCTGATCTGTTATGCGACCGTCGAGTGGCACTCCACTGATCGCGTGCTCTGACAGTTTGGTTGTTTTCAACCAATTCCGGAAGCACCTCGCAATATGGATGAATTGCATAGCTTAGATAGACACAGCAAGACAGATACAGATTGGCTGGTGAGGCATCATTAGTGGGTCATGTTGTGGGAGGATCGACATCGGCTCCTTCCACGTAGAGAGCCCATTTTTACTAACTTCTTGATGTATGCTGAGGATTATTATGAGTGGTTCAACAGTAACAGGAAACCGTTTCTACTTCCCGAGGATGCACGAGGGCAGACCTTTCCACGACGTCAACAGAGACGTTCACCGACACAACACCATCGTCCCCCGACTCATGGAGGGAGAGCAGGTGCTTCGGGTTCATCCTCAGCTGCACCAACAAAACCTTCCCAGCAGCCACCGCAGCCATATATGATGCCGCCATCGCCTTTCCATTACCAGATGCCGCCGTCGCGGCCTTTACCTGGTTTTATGACCCCGCCACCGCCACCGTCACAGATGACCCCTCCTAGAGGCTATTATGGGTCTATGTTTGCAGATCTGACTTGGGGTTCACGAAGACGATGACGATGATGACGATGGTGACGATAACGATGATGATGACAGCGAGGAGTCAGAACCAGTGATACGAAGAAATCCTCCTCGAGACCGACAGCCACCGCCATACGGAACACATTCGTGATGCAGACATCGATAATATTTTTTATTATATTTGTATTTACTTTATTTTGTTTAATTGTAATTTTTTATTATTTCTCATTTAATACTTACTTTATTTTGTTAAATTTGTTGGATTTTTTAATATATTTCAGTTAATTTTGTTTATTACCATTTAATATCAGTTATTTTAATTTGGTTATCATTTACCATTTAATTCTTATTGTAAGTTTGTTGTATTTAAATATCAAATTGTTATTAGTTTGATACAATTTAATGATTTTGTTCATTTTTTTAATCTTCATCAGCGATTATCGAATGACATTAACTTGAAGTAAATGCAAATTAAAATAAAAGAATTATTATTTGATAAACAAATACATCATTTCCTCATCAATTGTTACTTGATGACAATAGAAGTGGACATGTTTTCTATTGTGTCCTGGGTTTCTACAATTGCCACATCTTCTATCTTGTCTAGATCTTTCTCGAATATCCATATCGCAATGAATTCGATTGAATTTTGGACGACCACGCTCCCTCAATAAACTCGAATTTGGTACAATCAGAAGCCAATCTTGAACCTCATCAGGGTCTTTGTCATTACCTATGGGGGAAACTCAAATTTGTATACCTTAAAAACTTCAGATAGTAGGTATACGGGATCCACAAATGGTTATAGTCTTGACGTGTATGTGAGCAAGCTGCTATCACATGAGAGCATGGATACTTCAGAGCATGAAAAAACCCGCAGTCGCACGTTCTGTCCCTTAGATTTACTCTTAACGACACAGCTTCAATCCCTTGAAGAGGTCGCGGCAACTCTGTGACACGAAACATTTCATGTCTTCTTGAGAAGCTTGTTACATACATTCCATTTGATGCAGCAATTTTTTTCTGTAGATCTGTAACTAATCTAGGGTGATAGACATGACCGCCTTATATCCAGGTTTGAGCTTGTCCCCTGAGCTTCGCAAAAAACGCCCCCAAACAAAAATATATAGTTTTTACCAAAGCTGCTACAGGTAAGTGACGTGCACCCTTTAAGGTTGAATTGATTGCCTCAGCCAAGATGGTTGTCATGTGTCCATATCGATATCCACCATCATATGCGTTCGTTCGCATTTCTTTATCGATGAGGCTGATGTAATCGTATCCTTCCTCGTTCTTCGCCCGCAAATCTTGAAGCATTGATTCAAACGTTCGAGGAAGTAGTTCGTAACCTGATCAAAAAATGTATAACTTACTAACTTGCTTTCTTTGCAAAATTAAAATGATCAAAAAATGTATAACTTACTAACTTGCTTTCACTTACCCATGTGCACAATTAATTGACGCTCATCATTCTTCTTGTACCTTCCATGATAGTTCGCAGTAATGTGTCGGAGACAATACCTATGTTGGACAAAGGGTGGTTGCCACATTGGACCCAAAGACTCCATTGTTGCTTTGATCCCAGCTCTGCGATCCGAAATGACACAGATATTTTCCCTCGTGATAACATGTGTATGTAAATTTCGGAGGAAAAAAGCCCAAGAATCTATATCTTCTCCTTCGACAAGAGTAAAAGCAACTGGAAGAATGTTATGATTGTCATCTTGGACAACTGCCAATAATAAAACTTGCTTGTATTTTCCATACAAGAAAGTCCCGTCGATCTGGACCACAGGCTTATAGTATTTGGCAGCATTGACGCATTGTGGGTAACTCCAAAAAAACTGGTAGAATTGGCATCAATCGCGAAGAACTCAATCATTATGGTATGCATAGGAGGTTTCGAAGTCCACAATGGTCCCACGATTCAACGTCCGCACCAGCCTAAACCAACCTGGAAGTTCGTTGTAAGATGCATCCCATTCGCCATGAAGTTTGACAATGGCATTTTGTTTTGCCAGCCAAGCTTTTTTATAGGAGACGGTGTACCCATAATGCGATTGTATAGCTGAAATCAACACTGCAACAACTATATGAGAGCTTGCTTTTACCATGGGCATGATGGCTTGGCATATCACTCCAGAGTCTAAGTTGGGATGATCTTGGTTGACCCCTCCAGCACAAC